TTTGGATTTAGCCTGGTCTAAGATGCTGACAGTTTCCCAGTTGAAACTATGGTTAAGTCTGTCGATGTGTTGTGCAATTAAGGAGTTTTCATATCCTATCACCTTTCCTCCTACACACACTCCTACACATACCACATCACCTTTTCTCCTACACATATACCTCCCCACTCTGTCTTAGCATTTGCTTTTATAAGCTAAGAGCCTGGGTGGGGTGAGGCTGCCTCTGGACATCTGCAAGTCCTTGAAAACACCAGGGTTGGCTCAATTATCACAGGCAGCTGGAATGCTGGCTTGGATGCTTGTGAGTAAGGTTGTGAGTTAATGAATGGGGTGAGACACATTTCTGCCTGGCTACAGCTACTTTGCCCAAGCACAGACAGCAACCTTCACTCCATCACAGGTGGATACCCTTTAATTTTCCTAATGTTTTGAACACTTACTGTTAATTTGTAGAGCAGTTGGCATTTTCAAAGTTTAAGAACTTTTATTAGCACTATGATTATGGAACTTTTTTATACTCATGGCTGACTTTTTATCTTTATGGATATAGCTTCTATAAATTTGTGCCAGAATAATATATCAAAGTAAATATTATATTTTCAGATTCTGAAAATCTGAAATCATATTTCTTTCTTATGAAGTTCATTTACTTGACAATCTTATTCAAATATAAGGACAGGGTAATGCCATTTACATTTCTGTAAGTGTCTGTCCACATTAGACAGAATTTTAATGCAGTAAAAAAAACGTTATTTCAAAATTACCTGGCTGGAAAAAATAGACAACATTCCTTTCTGAGATGCTGTTACCAAAAAATCAAGTTGAGATACCTTTGTCATGCATTTTATTACATCACTTCTCTTGACTCCTGCCAGAAAGGTAAACAAAAGATAACTCAAATTAGGAATGAGCCAATAAATACAGGTAGTCAATTAACCTGGAGGATATCTAGCTTACTGATCTAGGAGCAATGAAATATATTTTGATTTTGATTACATTCAAGTAAGATTACTGTAAGCGCTAAGTTGGATCATGCTTAGAGATGGTCTGAAAATCACCGCTTGGGAATTCAAGTATTGTACTATTAGTACAATATCATATTGTACTAATGTACTGTACTGGTATCCTAAGCATATCAGTAAATGAATGAATGAATGAATGAATAAACAAACAAATAAAGCATGTACCTGTATGTGCCTCCTAGCTAATGGGATATGGCAACAATATGTTGCCTTAAAAAGTAATCTCTAGAGGAGAGATCCTAACTTGCAAAGGATAACATTACCATGCTTGGGATAAAACTGAGCTTTGTTTGCACATGTGGCATACTGCCCCAAATGTCCCAAAAATTATCAGTATTGCACCCTTACTATTAGCAGGGAATGCTACACATCACATAGGCATGATTAAAACTGTAAATCTAATCTACACTTTCTCTATATTATTAGAAAGCATGAGATGACAGCCTTCATTGACTCAACCATGATGCGTAACCATTGATATCTGTGGGCCCATCAGGTGTTGATCATGTCACATAGAAGACTGCAACTTGGAATGTAAGAGGAGTAAATGGTAAGAAGCATCAGTAAAACTGCATCTATGTCAGAATGTATGAATTGGTGTCACACTTGGCCTATGAGCTGAGAATTGACAGGCAAGCCACAGATCGCCAGGCCCAAGCCTCTGCCGATCTCCCTGGATAAAGGGTGGGGTGTCCTGGGCAACAGCAGCCTATCAGCAGCCTCCTTGCTGGCTCCATTCAAAGGCTGCCATGCTCCTTGGCCTGCAGACTTGCCAGCCACATCTGCAGAGGCAGAGGAGGGGTGGGATCTGGCCCTTTACAGAAAAGGTTTACTGGTCCCTGATCTACACTGATCCAGATTGCTGGAAAGTAGGAAATCATAGGTTGATGATTGCTGCAGGTTATACTGCAGGAAGAAGTCGGGATGAATTTTGGGAAAATTATGCAACATTATGAATGAATTTGATTTTGTTTGGTGACATGAATGGATGCGAATGAGTTGAAAAAGTGATTGAGCCATATGGGGAACCAAGAAGGAACAAGAATTGTGATTGCTTAGTGGGTACCTTCTTAGAAAAATATGTTTAAGCATAAACCTGTTCATGTGTATCCATGACAAAGGAAGGAATCAAAAACCATGATTGATTTGATTGTTTATGATAAAAGACTGAGAGAATTATTAAAGCATACAAGGATGATGAGAGATTCTAAATGTGGGATGGACCATTCTTGGTAGTATCAAGAACGGATCTTGTGAATAATGCCATGAAAGAAAAGGAAAGGAGTGAAAATAGAAAAATTGCAGGAGGAGAAAGTACAAGTATACGATAATTTCCTACAAAGTGAATGGAAACTGGACATAAGGAAAGATAATGAGGAAGCCGCTTCAAACAAGACAGCAAACATTATGTTACTAAGTACCACAGTAGAGAAAATATGTGTGGGAGTTACACTAATGGGAAGTACGAAAAAGGATGCTTGGTGGAATAATGAACAGAAAGAGATTATGGAACACATTAGATAATGATTACTGCAAAATATGACAGCAAAAGATATTGTATAATGTGAATATAGAAGAAAAGATAGCTGCAAAGAATGTAGTCAAAACAGCATGGAACAGTTAAGGTTAGAAGAAGCAGAGAAGATGCAGAGCAATTTTGATGGAAATAAACAATTGTTTTGGATATGGATGAAAAAGACTAAATAAAGGGTCTCCAGTGAATGAATTAAAAAATAAAAATTATAAAATGACTTAGGATGAAATTGAGGCAATGGAATGCTGGAAGAAGTATTTTAGAGATTTGTATGGGAATGACAGTGATATGTTGAACAATGGAATTGAAACAAATGCTATAAACATTAGTGTCCAAGAAAAAAAACTGATGCAAAGAAAGTCATAAATACTGTGAGAATTTTGAAAAATGGTAAGTCTGCATATATAAATGGTGTGATTAAAAAGATGTTCACATGTGGATTTAATTTGCTTATGAAGTGGCTTTTAGAACCATTTAATGAACAAAATTCAGGAAATGCTATGCATTGACTCATATGGTAGTTCTTCATAAGGTTACCAAGAAATGTATGAATATGAGAAAGCAAAGTGTTGATTTAGAGAAGGTGAACAGATGAAGTGAATAAGTTGGAATTGTACAATGTTTTTGCACAAATATGAAGTTGAAAGTTGGTTGCTGAATGCAATAACAACTATGTATGATGGATGCAAAGCATCTCTGAGAGTAATGGAATGCTTAACAAATAGGTCAACTCTGAGCAGGGAAAAAAACAAGATTGTATGGTGGCCCCTTGGTTGGTGAAAGTACTTATGTATAACTATATAAGGCATACTTGTGGAGATGTTATAGTTGTGATGGTTAGGGATGTGATAGTTATGTACATGTGTTATGCATTGGTTCTATTACTTGCATATATGTTCAACCTAATTCAAAGTTAGGTTTATGTGGTTTAGGTTATATTATCTGAAGGACTGACTACATCTGAATAAGCTGGTTGAAGCACTGAAATCAATATTGTAAGTCTTGTTCTCTGGCAATCTTTAGGCTAGTGCGGCCTTTCCTAGTCTTGTGCTAGCTGGGAATTTTAGAAGATATAGTCCAGTGTATCTGGAGGGCTCCAGTTTACATAGGATGGGCTGGTGATACCAGGAGCAGGGCTTTCTCACTGGTGTCCTCACACTTTTGGAACTCTGTGCTCATTACTGCTGGCTTGTAAAGATAAATAAGCCACATTTATGACAGTCTGTCTTGGACTGACTATTCTAGTGCATTACACATGGGAAAACACTTCTTGGAATCTTGACTTGGTTTAAATGTGGCTGCTGGATTATTAGTTTGGTCTATTCTGTTTTCAACAAATAAACATTTTTAAAACAAGCAAACAAATAAGCCTGATGTTTTGGATTTGAATTTGAAACATTCTCATTGGTTTTGAGAATCCTACTTTGTTGATATCAGAAAAGACTAGATAGAGTTGGCATTACAATATTAGCAAAATTTAACCTGAGGTTCTATTTGGTTTAAAAAAAATCAACCAAGTATGGCAAAAACCTGTTTAAAGAGTCCAAAGTCTACCATGGGCCCCATTATTATATTCATACATGCTTAACCAAATTAGATAAAGATTTAGCACATGCAGTTGCCCCACTTGCTAAGCTTGATCAGTGATAATTTTTTTGTTCAGCACATTGTGCAAACTCAGTTAATTTGTTAGTTTACAGCTCAAATATATTGTGCAAACCTAGACTATTCAGTATCCAGGTTAAACATATTATATGAATACAGTACTGGAAACAAAATAAAAATGACATATATTCTACTTTGCATTGGAAAAATGCCAACTCAGCCAAGAGAGTGATGGGAAAATGTGATTAAAGAAAACACACACTACATAACATACAATAATGTGAAAAATATGCTTAACAAATATAACTGTAAACTATGAATACATTATTTTGCTTATATTAACAACACATGAGGCTGAACTTTTATTTGGGGATGGAACATTAAAGACCAGACCTGCTTTCGTAATCCGTTGCTTTTTGGATACCAGGAAAACCATATTTTCTTCATCAAGTTGGGCAGCAAGAGCATCACCCTCCACCATATAATATCCAAAGATCTAAATTAAGCCAAAAAAAAAAAATTCAACACAGTATGAAAAGAAAATCTGAATACTTATGAAAAATAAATATTTGTATGTGGGTATTGTATGTTGCATGAAAATAATTCCCAACATTAGGAATGTTTGTAATGTATATTTTAAGATCAAGGATGATAAGGCTTGACAATTCTGTAAATATATTAATACTCAGTCCATTCTAGTACAAATAATTAGAAAAAAGTTCATGACATGCGAAATACTTAAGTCAGTTTATATAATGTGTTTCAATATCTCTTTCTTTTTTTAATTACAAAGATTTACCACAAACCGGGGGAAAAACACTTTAGATACTGTTTTTTAAAGAAGGGAACAGAGCCCCTGGCTGACTTCACACATGAAGCTATGTCATAAACCATAGTTTACAAAGTACACATTGGGTTCACGCAACACCTAAGCCATAAACACACATGCTTTCATGCAGTGTGTGAACCCAATCTATGTAAAAGTACACAGTAAATAAAACTCGGGAGGAGAGACATCATGAACACTGTCTTGATCTATAGACAAAGCACATAGCATTTGTACAAAGTGTATGTGTTTTACCTTTATTGCATTATGCATCTTATTCCCAAGTACTGTAGGTAAAAATGACATTTGAATTAAACTAATTGTGAAACAATTTTGCTTGAAAGATTGTGGCTTGTGAAAAATTAACATCTGAATTTTTGAATTGCAAATGCATTTTACAGTCTTATTGCTTTCAATCAATATATCATCTTTCTACCTATTAGACCTGAAGATGATAGATAAATAGACAGATAGACAGACAGACAGACAGACAGACAGACAATATTTGACCAGATTTATGCTAATTCTGCCATTATATGAAGAGTTGTGCTCTGACATAAAAGGAATGGCAAGATTCATAGAAAGATTCTAAAATTCCATTAGTAGCACATTTTCTTCTAAAAATTAAAATCCTTAATTTCTGATTGTAAGATTTTTATAAACATATATGGATACATCTCCCTGATGTCAGTGCAGTCCAACAGAAAAAGTGAAAAATAAAAACACTAGGGTTTTTCACTTTGTAGCTATTACAACACATTTGGTATTTATCACTTCTAAAAGTTATTAATGCATTAATAAATGTTATTAAAGTAAGTTAGAAAAGTAGAAAAGCCAGACACCTGGAGGCCTGTTTTAATTTTTACAGCTATTCTCTCCATGTACCCTTGACTCCCATGGAAACAAAATAATCACAAAAAGTAGTGTTATTATCCCCATCCCCAGCAACTTTTCCAGGCATCTAAGGATGCTTCAATCTCTTATATCAAAGCCAACAGTATTTATTTAATATTTGTATACTGCCAATCCAAAATGACTCTCATTAGTTTACAGAATAAAGCAATAGCATATAATAACACATAATTAAAATCAGAAAATATGCAACAAAAATCCCCACCACAGTCTTATCTCAGTGGTGACAACATGCTCCAAATGCTCTCTCAGACCTTTCTGTTTTAATGACCTTCCTAAATAAAAGCAAAGTCAGTTTGCTATTACAAGTATTTTAACATGGGCAACAAAAGATTTGCACAACCACACTGTTGTTTTTTCTTTCTGAAATGTTTTAGGCATTGTTTAAATAAAAATAACTGTCAGTGTAAAATGCCAGATACAACATGAGCTAGCATGGAAAAAAGATCCACTTAAAAATAAATATTCTTCCTAATTAATATACAGACACTTGCAGTTTAAGATTATTAAAGAATCACTCAAGAAAAAAAAGTGTTTGACATTAAGCAGAAATGTTATATTGTGATTTAATACAGATAAATCTAAGTATTTCTCAGTTATGTATCTGAATACTAACATAGCATATTTAGCATTGATTACAAAAGTTCACAATGGCTGTGATTGTTTGGTATTCTAAGATGAGATATTGTCCACCCAGGCATCTATGAGGGAGAGCAATGAAAGCAGGTGGTAAGAAATATATTGTAATATCATGATGCACATTCCATGATTTATACACTAGTGCCTGAAAGTGGGATGCAAATATGAAAGGCTGGAGTGAGTGCTGTGATGTCACAATACACATTTTTTTCATAATCTTGGTTTGCAGAAAACTTCTACGATTGTCCCAGTGGTTTTCTAAATATCCAGAAATAGCAGTCTTGATCTCTAAACCATAGCTGAAGATCATGGTTTAAAGTGAACTAGCTGATGCAGAATTCCAACAGAACACAACAGAATGCCATGAATACTATATTTTGGATGAAATTTCTTTTCATGAATGTTTGGTCTTCTTTTAAATTATGTTGAACTCCATGACTGTTTCCTCTGAGATTGTTTAACTTTCTTATTTCATACGGTATTTTTTATTTATTGTACAGCATGTTTTTGTGTAAAATTCACTTTAGATTCACTTTTAGAAAAATATTTGATCAAAAAGTTACATTCATTTTACTATTTATTGAAACTCAAGCTGAAAAATTAATAGCCTTTCCAGTGCAAAAATCTTCAGCTGATGTTTCAATAGTACTTGCTTCAACCACCCTGCAAGTAATGACCCAAACTGTAGTGCTAGCAAAGCTTCATGTGCTTCAAATTTCTTTTAATCTCCAACTTTCTTAACCATACAGTTGCTCCAAATACAGTGGTACCTCTAGTTACAAACTTAATCCGTTCTGTGACTCTGGTTGCAACTTGAGTTGGTCGCAACTCGAGGTAAATTT